TGCTTCCTTATGTTCCAAATCATTGATTTGTTTCTTGGCTTCATCCACTTGCTGTATTTTCCCTGTAATTTTTTCTTTTATTTTGATGAGTGTATCCCTTGTTTCTTTTTTTTTAATGTATTTTTTATTGATTATGCTATTACAGTTGTCCCATATTTTTTTTCTCTTCTTTATGCCCCTCCACCCTACACCACCCCACTCCCGGGCATTTCTCCCACCTTAGTTCATGTCCATGGGTTGTACATTTAAGTTCTTTGGCTTCTCCATTTCCTTTACTATTCTTAACCTCCACCTGCCTATTTATACCTACTATTTATGCTGCTTATTCTCTTCACCCTTTACCATATTCTTCCCCCTCCCATCCCCTCTGTTTTACTGTTCATAGTTTTTGGTCTTCTTTTTTTTTATAGTTAAAATCCCTTTAACATTTCATATAATAAGGGCTTGGTGATGATGAACTCTTTTTAACTTTACTTTATCTGGGAAGCACTTTATCCACCCTTCCATTCTAAACGATAGCTTTGTTGGATAGAATAATCTTGGATGTAGGTCTTCGCTTTTCATGACTTTGTAAACTTCTTGTCAGCCCCTTCTTGCCTGCAAGGTTTCTCTGGAGAAATCATCTGATAGTCATAAGGACACTCCTTTGTAGGTAACTGTCACCTTTTCTTGTGCTGCTTTGAAGAGTCTCTCCTTATCTTTATTCTTGGGTAACTGAATTATGATGTGCTTTCGTGTGTGCTTCCTTGGATCCACTTCTATAGGACTCTCTGAGCTCTCTGGACCTCTTGGAAGTCTATTTTCTTGGCCAGATTGGGGAAGTTCTCCTTCATTATTGTTTCAAATAAGTTTTCAATTTCTTGTTCTTCCTTGAGGTGGCGTGGGTCCTGGAGTTCCCTGTTTGGGTGCCCGCTAAAGCGGAGGGCAGACTCTGTCCCATAAAGTAAGCTCTGGGTCATCATGGATGGGGAAATAAAATAAGTCGTCCCAGACACTTTTCTCTCGGTCTGCCAGGGGAAGGGGTAGCAGTTCCCTCTAGTGGAGAAGGCCCTGAGCCCTTCTCTTGAAGTGGCTTTTATTGAGAACCATATGTCCACGGGTATACAGAGTGGATATAAAGCTCATCAATCAATGTCAAAAGGCTATGTTTACAGAAAACAAATAGAGATCATAGATAACAATTTAAGGAACACAAGAGATTTGCCTCAGGTCAGAGTCTGGTAGACAAGGTGGTGCCCATTCAGCCCTGAAACCGGGGAAACTGATCATATTCTCTGCTCAACCCCAAACATCAATACTCACTAACTCGAGGGCACTCTTAGCAAAGTAAGTTTCATAGGATTTAATGCATTCCTTTTCCAGGCCTAATTGTCCCAGGGTACTGCCCAATCCAGTTTAGGGCTATACCTGCCTTTAGTATTGTTCCAAGCCTGAGCCAGGCGGGTAGGGCAGAGCCGCCAAGAGTTAAGGAGACTTCTTTCAGATAGACTGAGGACTCCAGCCATCAAAGCCAAGGGGTGAGGGTCTTTTTCCCTTTCTCCATGTCCCCCAAGTCCTTCCTGTGATGGCCCCTTGGACCTCTGCCTGTCTTAGGTTGCCTCTGCCTTTGAGGGGTCTTACCCATCATTGACTAACCAGCCATCCTTCTAGACCAAGCAGGGTGATGTGAGGGGGACAGGTTTTGTCTCCTCAGTGGCCTATTTTCCCAAGGCCTCCTTGCTCATCTCCAGTTTTGTCGGCAAGGCTGCAGTCCCTGAAACCAGGCGGGATGGTTCCCAACACTTTCTATTCTTCTGGCACCCCTATGTTTCTAATGTTGGAATGAAACATCAGAGGTTCCTAAGTCTCTTCTCATTTTTTTGAATTCTTGCTGCTTCATTCTTTTCTGGTTGAATGTTTCTCTCTTCCTTCTGCTCCAAATTGTTGATTTGTGTCCCTGTTTCCTTCCCTTTACTGTTGGTTCCCTAAATATTATTCTTTGTTTCACTTTGAGTTCCTTCACTTTTTCCTCCATTTTGCGACCATACTCAACCAGTTCAGTGAGCATCCAGATTACCAGTGTTTTGAACTGTGCATCTGATAGGTTAGCTATCTGTTCATCGCTTAGTTTATGTGTTTGGAGCTTTGAGCTGTTCTTTCATTTGGGCCATATTTCTTTGTCTCAGCTTGCCTGTTACATCGAGCCTTAGGAGCCTTAGGTATTTGCCAGGGCGGGGCAACCCAGGTTACTGAGTTGTGATGCTGTCTGTGGGGGAGGAGTCCGAGAGGGAACAATGCCACACACTCAGCTCTTGCCCCATTTTCAGTCACTTCTGTCGCATCCCACAAGCAAATTGGGCCTTTCTGGTGCTGATTCCCAGATGGGCAGGTGTGTGTATGTTCTAGGACCCTGTGGGTTTCTCCAATGGACTCTCCTGTGAGTTTGGGAGTTTTTCTTACTGCTATATCCTCCACAGATTTCTACAGCTGGAGGCTTTGAGGCTTTCTTTTTCCCCACACTGGAACCCTGGGTTGGGTGGTCTGTCTTACTCCCCAGCTGTTCCTCCGGTTCGTTGGCACGCAAACGTGGGACCACCTGGTCTGCCAGTCCCTTCTCCCGCCTGGTCCTCCCACTGCTGCCTTGCCATGTGTCCTCTCAGCTCTGGCTGCCCATCTCCACCTGTCTTACCAGTTTGGATGAATGTTTCTTTAACTCCTTGGTTGTTGGACTTCCATACAGTTCAATGTTCTGGCAGTTCCGGTTATTTTTTGTTTTTAAATTTGTTGTCTTTCTTTCAGTTGTGGGAGGAGGCAGAGTATATCTACCTACGCTTCCGTCTTGGCCGGAAGTCCTGTTTGGCTTTCTTTTTAGTGGTCAAAATAGTGGAACAAGCAGAGTCAGGGAGCTGGTTTATGAGGCCATCCAGAAGCCACACATCTTGTCTCTAAAAGTTTTACTTACGTCGCATTGTAGTATCTCGTGTGGGTGAGTTGCCCACTAATATGTGGTTAATGTGAATTATTTTCAGTCTGGGTTGGGAATTAGTATACATTATACATAGTAGATGTTTTAGTTTTATTGAAGTGACTTATGACTACCAATAAAAATCAGTCTGAAAATGATTATCTAGTTTATAATTACTTATAAATACATACAAATGAAGAAATAATCATCCACTGCCCTTTAATTAGCAAACAGTATAGCATGGTAGTTGAGTGCAGTAGGCCTGCTCTTTGGGGAAATCATCTCTCTAGAAAACAAATAGAGATCATAGATAACAATTTAAGGAACACAAGAGATTTGCCTCAGGTCAGAGTCTGGTAGACAAGGTGGTGCCCATTCAGCCCTGAAACCTGGGAAACTGATCATATTCTTTGCTCAACCCCAAACAGTATAACCATCAATTTTATAATACCTCACAGAAGTTGTGATGATTAAATGCAGTAAGGTATACATAAACTATTTGGCATGATGCAGATAATAAGTATTCCTTGTCTACACAGATATTCTTTCTCAAAAAGTTACAGTCATAATTTATGTAAAATTTCTATACCTATATTGTGAGCATTTCTTTTTTTCTATAGTCTTCTTATATAGTCATCATTTTTTTTGTCATTGGTGTATTCTAGACTGTCCATTCTCTTTTAGTATAATTTTTAGTATTTTCATGATTGGTTTCAACTACATTAAAATAGTTCATAATTTTTTATTTCATCCTGTGGTTTTAGTGTATATATATATATATATATTTTTTTTTTTTTTTTTGAATTTCATTATTTAGATGTTTAAGCTCTCGCACTAGATTTTTTACAAGCTGGTGAACAGTGACAAATTATTTCTCCCACCGAACTATAACCACACATTCCCAGACAGTATAAATATATGGTTGAACTAACATTAATACACATCACCATTTTATCAATTACATCATAAATTATCAAGTATCCAAATATTAAGTTACACACCTCAAAAGGCATATAAAATATTAGATGTCTGCTCAATTCATTAGCAGAAACCCACTTTTTTTTTGCAAGAGAGGGTGGGAAGGAAAAAAATCACACATTAAACAAAAATAAGTTGGTAAACAACTTCAGAATGTATGAAAACAAATACAAGAATTTCAGAATTTTTATGATTAAGAATTGTTTTTAGCTACAACAAAGCATCTCTACCTTTACCTTTAAAAAAAAATTTACTAAAGAGCATTACTCTGCATGTTCCACACAAGACAAAGGCAACATTTTACTAAAAATACTTAATAGCCCCCTCCCACTCTTTGCTCAGGCCCTCCCTATAAGTTGCACCCCAAGTTCAAACATTAAAATTAACTGTAAGGCTTTTTGTCTGGAGACATTAAAGACATGTGCTTCTGTACTAAGTAGATTTTCAAAATGGAGGCTTTCCGTAACAGCACAAAATGAGATTAATAGAAAAACATTAAATAATCACTAAGACCTGGTATAAAAATCAAAAAGTTGAGCAAATCTGATGTATACTTGTATGAATGTGGGAGATGTAAACATGAAGTGAGCAAATAACCATATAGGCCCTACTTTCTATGTTTGAAATGATGGAAGGGATAAACCACATAAGGTCCAGAGTGTTCCTAGTTCCTGGGATTTTAGTTCTGTATGATCGTAAAGTACACAAGTACTGTGCTGGACATTTTGGCACCTCATCTTTCTAAATCACATATATTGATAATATTCTGGCATGGGAATAGATTTAAAGATATAACTCAGTACTGCATGCTTTCAGAAAGAGTCATTTGGTACAAATGATAAGCACATTTTAAAGCTGAACAGTAAGAATCTTTTGCTAAGTGTCAAAATGATTGATCAAAACCCAAACATACAAGTTGCAATTCTGTCAAGCTTGTGGCCTGGTAAAACTGCTTTTTAATACTCCTGTGGAAGCTTCATTAGACTTATTCACCAAGCCAGATGTTGGCTAACGTGTATGACAAATTAGGTCCTAGCTCAAGTTCTACTTCCAAGGCAATGGCATCAGGCACCTGTTTTTATTGAATACAACAGTTGTTTCTATGATCATTGGAGTCTTTGAAGCACAGCCACATTTTAGGACGATACTTCTCCAAATATAAAAACTGCTTGCTGTTAAAAGCTCCATGCTGCTTTTGTCTTACGAACGGTATTGTGTCTTCATATTTCATTCCACCTTCAATTAATGCTAGGGCAACAAGTACCGGAGCCCTCCCAAGGCCTGCAACACAATGAACAGCAATACAACAACCAGGTTCTTCATGAAACTTAATTTTTACAAGACTTAACCAGTCATCAACAATCTGGTTGGATGGTGGTGCACCATCATCCAAAGGCCAATCAAGAACATGGATGCCTTCTTTCTCCACAAGAGTAGTGTCTTAAGTTGCTTCACATAGTCTAAGTATTGTGGTAACTCCATACTTCTTAAGTTCCTCTATAAATTTAAGGTCGCATTGGTTGGATTGTGTGTAGTAAGAAATCTTATATTCTTGAAGGTGACTTCCACAGGAGCGGGGCGGTTCATTCAAGCCATGTTAATTTAGTTAAAAAACACTCAATGGGGTTATGAAAGAATTTAAAAATTGAACACAGAAATGGTGCAAAGAAACTGAGTCTACTTCAGTGTACTCCACGTGAAATTCTCAGTGCTTTCAGTATGAAGTTGGGAGTAATGGAAGATGAAATGAACCTCCTAACAAGCAGCAGCAATTCTTCAATACTGAGGCAATAGAAAGGAAGTGCACGAAGGTTTACCCCATCCAGGTCAAAACTCTTGTAAAATGCTCTGCAGATTTCAATTCAATACTTATGTGTCTAGGTTAACCACTCTTACAGGGGCTTCTTGGTGGAGTAGTAATGAATTTCTACAGTTCACTTGTCTGCATAGAGGTCGTGCTGTGCCTGGCAGTAATCGCCACTGCCCTTCAGAAACTCCAGATGAACAACCAAGATGAACTCCACCAGATGAAACCAAGAACACCACAGAACTGAGGAATATGTTTACTCATTGAAGACTGTGGCCTAATCATATAGCCTGTCCTGAGGCGGCGGCAGCAGGGCAGGGGGCAGCGGTGGTCGTGGCGGCGCAGTGAACGATTTGCAGACCCCGGCGCGGGGTACGAGACTCTACCATGCAGTGAACAGCTCCTAGGAGAGCACGTAGCCAAGCCGGCCCGCAGTTGACCGAGCCAATAGGCGTGCCGAGGCGCCCTTGCGTCATAAATCCTCTTTTTTTATAGCCGCCGCAACGTGCGAAGCCCTGGCCACGAATTAAGGCTGGGAGCCGTCCGCCTCAGTCCCTGTCTCCCCCCCCCCCCCCGCCCCGCCCCGCCCCGAGCGCTGAAGAGCGGGGGCGGAAGTCCGCCTCCCGCGGGATGTCACTGCAGCAGCAGGTTTTATTATTTTGATGATCTTTATCAGGTATTGGTGACATCAAATGTCAATATTCTTAATGTTACTTCTTGTACAGTGTTAGCTGGCGTTCTTTAACAAGGAGCTTTCACTTTCCCCAGTTATTTTAGTACCGCTATTGACTAATGGCCTTTTTTGTTTATTCCGTTTGTTATCCTGTTATAATGCCTATATATTGCCCTTTTGATCTGTCTCTTGTCCTTTTGGTCTGTTCCTTTTGCCCTTTGAGCACTTCCAGGCTTACTTTGTACTTTCCCTGCCTTGAACCTGTAGTTAGCCATTTTCGTGAGGATCATCTTGGAAATGATCAGTTTTCTAAAAGATCTGTTAAACACTCATTTCCATTTTGAGCAGTTTTTCCCTAAAATTAGTCTACTTTTTTAAAGGTTATCTCTTTATTATCTCTCTAAATTTATTGGGAGAGTTTTGTTACGGAACTATGCATAAGTTTGCTTATTAACTATTCTAGTATTTATCGGATAATTCCTTTCTGTGTTGTTGTTTAAAACCATTCCTTGATATTATTTTCTACTTTGCATAGTAATTGATTTGCTATTTCTTGATTAGCAGGTTGTTATACAAATTGAATTATTTTGCTTTACTTGGTAATCTAGGTTGCGGATGCCAAAAGAGGAAAAGCAGGTGGATTTGAAAACTGGTCGAGTACGTCGGAAAGCTGTTTTTGGAGGTGATGAAGATGATGAGTCTGGAGATAGTGATACTGAAGATGATAAAGAAATGTCTGAAGGTGACAGGTCGAAAAATAGCTCTAGTGATGAAACAGAAGAGGAAGAAGATGCTGAAATGATTGGTAAAGTGTATATGGCGGATAAGGTTGTCAAACGACCGAGACTTAAGGAGGTGGAAGAAGACATTGAGGTAGATTTGCCAGCATTTGCTGACAGTGATGATGACCTTGAGAGGAGCTCAGAAGATGAAGAAGTAGAGGAAGCTGCTGAAAGCAGTGAAGAAGAAAGTTCTTCTGCAGAAGGAGAGAAGGATATTTTAGAACCTAAGTCTATAGAAAAAGGCAGTAAACCAGGTGTTTTACAAAGTAATGGTCTGGTTGACAGTTTGAATCTGGAGAAGACAATGAAAAAAGTAACCCTCACTATTTCAGATTCAGGTCATTGCACTGCTGAAGAGGCATTTGTATCTGAAGATGCATCTGAAGAAAGCTCTTTTCTCAGTACAGAAGAAAAGGATTCAGAAAATGAAGAGGTTATTAGAAAAAAGTTTCCAAGGCTTTCTCAGGTGGTCAGTGGTCAGAAACTGGGGTCAGAGAACTGCGTTGATGAGACCAGTGATGTAGAAGATTTACTCAGAGAGGAAGATTACAAGGGAGAAAATACATACTCCACAGAATCATCAGGTATGTAAATTTAATTTAACTGCGATTATAAATGACACTGAAATGTTCTACAAATAGAATATCTGCACTTGGGGGGTCTGCTGTTTTGGATATTTTGTTTACTATTCAAATATACCTCACAAAAGGATTTCAGGATGAATGAGCAGTGCGCTTGAAACACAGGTGACCGGTATACAGACTTAAATGATGTTGGTGTTGGTCCATTCAGGTGCCCTCAAGTGGAAGGAAGACCTTTCCAGGAAGGCAGCTGAGGCCTTTCTGAGGCAGCAACAAGCAACTCCAAATCTTCAAAAGCTTATTTATGGGACAGGTAAAAGAGCTCTGGTTCAGATCTAGAAGCATGGATTCTTAGATTATTTTCTCAAAAGGCAATGAGGAAATTGGTTGGAGGTTTGTATGGTACCTGTGACAGGCATGATACTTCTGGCTGTCAGTTATATTTGGCAGATGTTTTTAAGAATCACTTTATGAGAACCATAAATTGGTTGTATGAAAGAGATTTATGGGTTTGTCATAAAACTTTTGATGTGAATACTCTCCATTATGTTAATTTGTATCCTCTATACAAAGTCCTTTGGGATTATTTTTTAGTAGAATTTAGTGCCAAGAAAATATCTTTCTGGTGAACTTTATACTGAGGTCCCCAGTTATGTGATTAGAGCAAGGCCAAAGGAGTATATATTGAGTTCGGAGCATCAAATCAGGAGGTTGGTGTGTGCTGATTTCCATTTGGTTTTTGTTTAAGCGTTCTTAGTGGCTAGGGACTCAACATTCTTCCAGAGCAACTCTTTGAAATAATTGAAAGTCCTGCCTATAAATGTCCCTCCCCTCCCCCAACCTCTATTTTCTCCCTCCTCAATGGACTCTGCTGCTGCCTTGCAGGAAGGCAGAAGTCTCCCAGATATGGTAAGCAGTAGTTCCCTGGCTTTTCTCTGACTGATGTGTTCAGGGGCACCTCAAAGAGGGACCCTCAGCTCCAAATCCACTCTTCCATCATGTGGTCTCTTTAGTGACACAGGATGATGAAGCAGAAGATGGTGGTAGCAGGGAAGAGCTTGGAGGCTTGTTTCGTGTCACCCAGCCTACCAGAGAGTGTAAGCACAAGGCTGAGTCTTTCGACTGCTCTAGATTTCACGTGGAGATACCCCAGGATTGGGATTTAGAGGAGGTAAGGTTGAATATGAATAGTATCTTTGATTTTTGAGAGAATTAAAGAATTGTTCTAAAAGAAGATCATGTGATTTTAATACTGCCTACCTTGTTATAACAGCATATTTTCCCAGATGTTGGAGTGGATGTTTTGCATATCCTAAGCAATAACATGTTCTGAGTTTAGTCAAACCATATGCATGTGTTAAGGAGAAAAGGAAAATGCTCAGCTTTTAGCATGGGTAGTATTTGATTCATTGCACATAAATTTTATACATTTAAAATATTTTGTTTTATAATTAGCATAAATCCTGTGTCCCCGAGTTAACATTTATAATTTATGCTATTTGTAAACAAATGTATGACATCAGTGGTAGATTTTTCCTTTCTCACCACTGCCTAGTCACACTGGAATTAATTCAGTTTTCAAACTTACCAGGCTTCATCCCACCTTACACCTCTTGCCTGTTTTCCCTTCTAGAATGTTCTGATGTTCCCAGGCAGGCTCCTTTTGATCAATTCAGTTCAGCTTAAATGTCACTCAGAGAGGTCCAATCACCATATTAGTTATAATTTACTGAATGGCACATAGGTACTTTGTGAGTTTTTATGCAACCATTTTTATGGTAAAATTTAATATAGGTTTTAGAAGGCCACATAAAATAGTTGTTTAATTTAATGGATTACTAGGTCAGCACCCTTGTAAGCACTGTGTCCATCCTAGACACAGTCCTTTCTGTCCCTGCAGAAGGAAGCATGACTCTCTGGTAATCATTTTTTTCTTTATACAGTAATTTCATCCTCCAAGGTTGCATCATTAAACACCATGGTTTACTTTCACTGGGTTTTTTGGGGTTTGTTTTTCACTGTGCTTTTTAATCTTTAAATATACAGTTTCTTTTTCTGTGCTCGTCTTTCCCCCACCACTCTTCAATTTAATATGTTTAAGAAACCAAGTATATGGTGTATAGTTTCTCATATTCTAGACTTCATGGATTCCACTGCAGTCTTAATGTGCAGTTTGTCAGGCACCTCTGTCCTCTGTATTTCTTATGAGTTGATACAGAAAAATAGCAATAGAACTCTGTGATGATGGAAATAATCTATATATGAACTGTCCAGTGTGCTTACTTATGGCCGTTGAGCACTTTTATGTCTAGGGAGACAGGAGAACTAAATTTTTAATTCTAAGTTTTACTTAACCTTAATTAGAATTTAAATAACCCACGTGGTTGTAGCTATCCTAAGGACAGCACATCTAGAAGTTTGGATTTAGGTTGGATTTTTATTTTCAGCAAGACTGCTTGCTAGGCGGTGGTATTTTATCATTAGGAGGCACATAAAGTCATCTTGTGATACTAAAAGCTATTGATCCTCAGTGCCATGATCCATTAATTTATAAAGCTATAAAATGGTGATATTTTGTTAAAATTTCTCTGTAGTGTTTATTAACTAGAATACATCTATAAAGGGAAACTTCCCTTCATCTACTCTTTGGTTGCCCAGTTCCATATATAAGCAGGATAAATGGTTGATTTCACTTACTAGTTTTCAGAATGATTATTCAAAGGTGACTTTTTTCTTTTTAAGTATCATTTGAACTCACAAATTTAAATATAGTGGAGTGTTTCTTTCCACTGCACTTGTTTCCCT